ATGCGCGAGACTGTGTAGGCACCTCAAAACAGACAATGTGCCCTTTAACTGTCACATATGAAATTATTTTTCCAACAAAACTGAGCGAGCGTTCGAAGCGTGTAGGTGGAGTTGGATAAGAAAGTGCATCTGAAATCAGGAGCCCAAATGCCCCAAAGTGAATCATTATTTCCTGAATCAGTGGAAAAAAGTTGTTGTTAGATCCTGTTATCTGCTTTATGTTTTCCAACGTCTGTACAGCACCTGGAAAATAACCTGACAAGATGTGATTAAATCACATTAACTGTTCAGGCCTACCTCAGGTACGATTCACAAGCATTCAAAGAGAGATTTTTATTCCTCTTAACAATAACTCTGCTTTGATTTCTGTTCACTATAATGAGTGTTTGTGTCAACCGTGTCTTTATCTAAAAATAAAACATGCTAAAACTCTGAATATCACACTGTGAGTTAAACAGGGCCTGGTCTGCACGTAAAAATTCAGCTTCTGCTCGTCCAAACCGATTCTGTCCGACTGTGGCCGACACATGTAGCAGATATGCCTCAGTGCACCACCCAAAATACATCCAGTCATTTTAAGAACAGTTACAAGGGATCACAGACACACACGGACCTCTTGGGTGTCTTAAAACCTCCACCATTTTTTTTGGTTTTCTATTCCAAGTCGCAATGAAAGCAGCTATTTATGTTTTGAGCATGTAATGACTGCTTTTCTGAGCCAGAGCAACAATGCCGCGGCCGACTGCGGTGCACGCACTCTTTTATTCTCCTTTTTTTTCCGACTGTTTCTATATAGTTGTGAATATAAAACAAACCTCAGTTGGAATTAAATTTAACTGATCGATTAGATCTTGTTGGACTGAAATCATCAAAAACTTTGTAAATGAATAGCTAAACTACATTTTCACGTGTTTCATGGCCTCATGTTGCAATTAAATCAACATTTAATCAAATATGTGAATTCTCGAGCACATCGAGTTCAAACTCCTTTGCAGCTTTTTGCCTGTATAACTGCATTACAGCAACTTCTCAGGCTCAGACTTCAGGTCGTCTTACTTTCACCCACCTTACTGGGCTGTTGTGTTTTTCCACACAAGACACAAGTATATACATAAGTGTAACTAACCAGTTTAACCAATACGACACAGTCTGTTGTTACATAATCAGATATAAAACCTACTTACACTGTTTTTCCAGGCAGACGCAGAGCGGTGTTGTTGCTTCAGAGGCAAAGATATATCTGTTGATCTGACAGAAATGTAAGGTGCTGTGAAGACGCGAGGGTTTAGAGACAATGACACACACACACACGCACACACACACACAAACCCACACACAGGCAAAACGGCAAATGGCACGCGTGGAGGGCTGATTTCAGTTTGACTGTCACCACTGAGTCTCTCAGTTAAGTTAAATCCCAGCTGATGTATTACAATCTGTACAGCGCCATGTCTGAATATGCAAAACAGTGAATTAATATTAGAAGAATAAACCAGCGTTATTGGGGAGTTACTCTGTTTTGCTTTTGAGATGAAAACGATTTGGTCTGCTGGTTGAACTCGAGTCAGGATGCACTTACTTAGCCCATAAACAAAGGGAAAGAGATTCCTCTGTCCATAGAATAAAAAACTAACATCTTACATGTTAAAGGTCAAAAATTTCCATGCTCGATCTTTTTTGTCTTCTGCACTTCTGCACCACCATCAGCCTAACGGCCCCAGGCTGGTGTTAGTCACCGACCGTCTGCCGCTTCATGCTCGTGGTGGTCTGAGTAGGCTTTTGCACATCTTGCCCTAAACCTACATCTAAGGATGCCTAATTATTAAAATGATGGCCTCGTTCTTGTGAGCAGTCTTCACTTCATGTTGCAATCATCCTATTTATTTATACAAAGTCAGCCATGCAAAAGCTGTACAATAGCAAGTGGTGGTTTTACACAAGGCGCTGACCTATTTTTCAGCACCTGTAGATAGATGACATTTGACCATCATGAGTTTCCCTTTGTTTACGGC